TTTAGCTAGCTGGCAAGTTGGAAGACACTCTTTGGTATGCTAACATGGGACACTCCACTACAATGTGCTTAGAACTGAGGGTCAGTTGACTTCACTTCATCGTGATGTGTGCCACGGACGAGGGCGGGATTTTAGTTCGAGGAGCTTCGCTGATCAGCTCCTCCATGTATTATTCTACTGTTCTATTGCCCGATTGCTGTAGTACGCCTTGACATCTGACACAGGTACCTCTTATGATATCTGCACTTCGGTTCTCATATAGCTTTAAATGAGGGAACCCATAGTAAAGCTATCTCCTTGTTTAGAAATAAGTGCCGGTGGCTTTTTTACATTAATAAATTGATTCACTGCTGCTATACTTAGGACAGATAATTAATATTAAGTATTTGACAATGTGAGCAAATAACTATTTTTGTTAAATAACGTGATCAATGGTAGGCTTTGTAATTGTAATCTCAAAAGGAGTCTTTCGGCGCGTGAATTTTAAAAAGACAGTAAATGAACTTTACGATCTTTCACTTTTAGTACGGCAGTACAGGAGACCACATAAATACAAGGATAGCTTATGGATGCGGTGGCTTGTTAAGCCATCATGGTGCGATAGACGGCATTGGTGGTCCATGCCTGTAGCTCAGAGAAGCAGACGATGAAGCGGCATGCACGGAAATTTACGACGTGGGTCCGATGTGTGTAGTGTATGTTAATGAGGTTACTTAATTTTGGTAGTAATATTGACAATCAGTTTAGAACTGAAACAAAAGTAAGTAGTCTGACGAAGTTTTTTTATTCAAAGTTTAACTGATGGATTTTTCAGGATTCAAAGTACGTAACAAATACTTTTATACTCCAGTTCCAAACGAACAGGGCTACATGTATATTTGGGTTTATTACTGCTCATTTTCTTCCATGAAAAGCCAAATGCATTAGTGGACAAATGCCATTACGTATAGATGAAATTATACTATTGACACCAATTCTTATCTGTATTTCAAACCCTATTCAGTTCGTAAATTTTAACAATATTAACAGAAAACTGCAATAACGAGTAGCCTACATGGACTATACTGCCAGAATCATCTGCATCTAGCAGTCATAGTGATGACTGGGCTGTCAAACGCGTACTGAGATCTTTACTGTTCCCACCAAGGAATTCGAATAGATCAGTAGCCAAGCCTGTATGCTTGCAGTGCACTGCTTATCACCAAAATTACAAGGCTTTAGTGCTAACTTTTGACTCATTTGACCACCAATGCCTACCAAAGTCACAGCGTTGCATCAAGACAATAATAATACTCATCGCTGGAAGCCTCTATTTTCGTTAGGCTTGTGCTGCTCTTTGCAAATTACGTAAGAAGTACATACCATACCTTGATATCGTCTAACACAGCAATTATCTGCACTTTTAAGCAATGAGACTAGAAACATGAATTTAATGACAGGGCTGTCAAAAATTAAATTATGTCAAATGCAGTTGTAGTATGCAATTTGGTCCTCAGTCCATACATCTCGATTAACAAGAAAGTTGTAGCCAATAAAAATGCAAGAATGTACTTTCATGATTTTAATTGAAATGGGTCGCGTCAGAGTAGGCGAATACAAGTTGAAACATCTAGCTGCAAGTTGGTAATATTATTGTCTTGGAATGAAATGAACTTTTCACTCAAAGCCAGCTCTCCGAGCGTCCATATACATTAGCGAATTACCCGTTTTTCCCTCCCTTGCTCGTAAATTTTACATACGAATACGTATATATACTCCCTCTTTCTGAATAACGGCCTTCCCTAGTATCCAGACTCTTCCAAAGTTGTAACTGCATTCTGAAAGTTCTTTTGAAAAACAACTGCTTAAAGTTATAGCCAGAGCGCTTCATGCTGATGTTGCCAAGGGTTCTGAAGAATTCTCTCCTGCTTTTTCTATCTCTCTCTCTGTTTGGAAAAATGCGATTATGGAACTTTCTCAATTTCGCAACAGCCCTGAGTAAGGAGGAGAAAAAATGTTCGAGATCGTTATGCGCAACAACTCTTATAAATAACAGTTGCTCTTGTTAGTATATTCTGATTGCCAGTTTGGTAGTGCGTAGTACAGGCAATGTTTCGTATAAGGAGTGTAAAACATTTTTACTAGGTACTATTTTCGTGAGGGCTTTGTTTTCATTTTGAAGGTAACCCTAGGATGATCAAGATAACTCGATGTGTGTCCTTTGCACCACCTGAGTATACACATACCACTTTAAAACCAGGTTTGATAGCAACCACGGGTCACTGAATTATTGTGGCTGCTAGAAGAAGCTCTGAAGTCTTTTGCCTAGGTTGTTTTAAATTTTTGGTAAACATTTTTCAAATGAAAATCTTGGATAGAGATATGTACATAGTTTTTCAGAATGTTCGGTTTTGCCTATTTGTATAAGGTTGATTTACTATCTATTTATGGGCTGCAATTTCTGCAGAACCCAAAGGAAACAGGAAATTGGAATAGTTTTGCGTTCTCTTGTCATTTCTAGAGGTTCTTCTTAAAAACATAAGTCTCCAAAGTTTTAAAGGGTGAAAAGTTGTTACAGGATACCATTTATTAGTATATATCCATTAATAAATAAAGTAAACCAAAAAGGTTTCAAAACCTGTTAGAAGGGAAAATCCACCTTTGCTCCCTCTCCGAGATTAAAAACTTTATTTTGGAAAAATTTGCTGATAAGGGTGAAGGGCTAACAAAAACATTTTACCCATCCAGCAGCACCTGGAATCCATTTGTGTCCGTCCACGAAGCGTGGTTGAATTGCCAAATCTAAATCAAAGCTGGAGATTATCACGTGACATCTACTATCCTTGGACGCTTGATCTCTGACCAAGAAAATAAGATAGCAGTAAAAGTGGTAAAAGAGACGCAGCCTTACTCATGAGCTCTCCGTCTACAGCTGCAAAAATCAAGAAAGCATTAAAATTTCAGTCGTAAGATAAAAACCAACCAACGTGTATAGCTGACGCTCTCTCAGTGTCATTAAATTTCACAAAAGGGAAGTACACAAAATTACGTACCCTACCATGATATATCAGTCTCATGCGCATTTTAGAGCAAATACATACTTGGACATTCACACCATAACTACTGTACGCTGTTAAAAGGGTAGCTTTAATTCATTAAAGTCAGGTCAACTGTCCCTAGAATGCTCTCTAATGACAATTCGGGTTATTGTTTTAGAAAAATGTAGAGACGTTCGAACAGCTAGACTCACGTCTTGGTAAGTGTTCTGATATTACTGCCGCACTGCCGCGTCTAACCTGGTCGGGAATTATGTAAAAAACCTATAAAACTTCAAAAAAACTATAAAATGTCATCTTACAGACTAGGTAGTTTTTAGGCTGCAAACATTCCACGTTTGCTCACTAGGATCGTTCTGAGCGTTCATATAACGCGTTGTTGGTTGCATATGTTTTGTGAAGCCGAGTAGTCTATAGTTTTCATCTCTGAGAAGAAAGTTGGTTGAATAGCAAAATCGCATCTGGATGATTGTGTGTTGGTCTGCTTGTGCATAAAATCAATGATATTTGCTGTGTGAGAAAATCATTACTGAATATGCTGCCAATGAAGTATATCTATTAGCTGTGCCCGACGGGTTATTCGTGTTGTCCTTTCTGAAGAGAGGTTATGTTCAAAGTTATAAATTACGATTTTTTACATTTTTTGTGTTTTCAAAAACCTTGAGGAGAATAACGGGAAATCACCACCGCGCCCCGCCCGCGTTGTGTAATTACTGTTATCATGTATATGACAGTGTACAGTGAATATAATTATTTCTTACCTCTCTCAGTTTTTAAATTCAGCAAATTTGCATATGTAATTCAAGAATGGATAAGAAAAAGTGGATGCGCAACTAATTTCTAGCTTTGAATCTCAAGTAAGTGTATTTGAGACAAGAGTCCAATGGAATTATCATCAACACATTGATAACTGAAGCCTCATGAAGTTTAGGCAACACGTACAACTACAAAACGAGTTCACAACGTGTCCATCAGCTAGTGCTAACATCTTGTAGAAAAAGCTACATAATGTCACAAAAAACAATGTCAAAAAAATCGACATAATGTCACTTTTCAATATAAGTAATACCGGTGCCGGTTAGGTATCAGGTAGTTAGACTTGTTTATACCGTTTTACGTTGTTATACAAAATTTTGACACCCTGCATGTTGGAGTAATGCGCTAGCGGTTCCGGTATGTAGAGGTAGGGTAGAGGAGGATTTTCAGTTGCTAGGCGCCTTCCTGGGTACTGAGCCCTATTGCTTTGTTGGGGCTTTCACTGCCTTGACCGAGTGATCCTATTCGGCGTGGTGAGTCCAACATAACGCGACGCTCGCGGCCGTCGGCGTCTGTTGAAGACTTTTACCTCCCAGCAGAAAAAAAGGTATCAGGTAGAGGCGATGTTGACTGACTTGATCCGGTGCGTGGGTGGTGTGGAATCAGCCTTCTTAACACCATCTTTCAATTTGGTGAAGTCGTTCTGCGGGCCTCATCGCCCGTAACAGCGGTATCTTAACCCTTAACCCATTAATGCCCACGGGGTCGATAATGACCCACGAGATATTTTAATACCCTACTCTCAGCACAACATGACAACAACGCGTAAATATTCGGCAAACGCAACCACATGCCTGCATGACGCCACGTGCTTATGGTCGACGGCATTGTGCATATTTCCAGCATCTAAACAGCAGCCCGAATTCCATAGATTGAGTGTAGTAAAACATGGCTTCCAATTATGAATGGTAAGTACATTTATTGTTTTTTATTTCTTTTATCTACTATTCAAATTAGCTTTAGGTAGCATATATCTACGACTGCAAATACATTGTTCCGAAATATTTGTAGAAATAAAAGTTGTGTATAACCTAAAAACCTTGTGGGTCGTTATCGACCCCTTGGGCTTCACAATACATTCTAATGTTAATTTTAATAATTCACATTATTTTTTTTAGAATGTTTTTAGTAGTTTATTTTTTTTTTCAGGACGCGTCCGTTGACAACCAGCGAATTGTTGGAAGAAATTGAAAACATCGAAAATTCCGAAGATCTTCCCGATGGAATTATTATTACTCCACCAGACGATTTTTCCGACAACACGGACTGCGACTCTGGAGACGAAGATTCCAATGATCCGGACCACTTGAACAGCAATCAGCTTTCTGCTCAAGCTGAATATTACTTCATGGACAATGAAAGGAGATCACAAAATGAAACAGTGATTGAGGGGGTTGCTGGTATTGAGTGGGATGAAGAAGACAATTTGCCGCTCGCATATTTTGCAAGTCACTCTGAATATGAAAAATGTAAGTGGATGAAAGGCGACCTACAGAGTGATAATACGGAAACAGTTTCAAATTTTCCACCTCCACTTACACTGACATCGGAGAGTCCGCCTCTCCAATTTTTTCTACTATTTTTGTCACCCGATATTCTAACAGATCTTGTAAAACACAGCGTTACATATGCTTCTAAAAAGAACAAGCTGAACTTTGAACTTTGTTTGGACGAAATGTATGTTTTTGTTGGAATTTTAGTTTTGTCTGGATACGTTCCTCTACCGAGAAGACGGATGTATTGGGAAGAAAGTGAGGATGTTCATAATGAACTAGTCGTCAAATCAATGCGTCGAAATTGATTTGAAGAGATTTCTAGCGTTTTCCATGCTGCTGATAATGACAATCTCCCAGAAGGTGATAAGTTGGGAAAGATACGTCCCTTTATTGAAGCCATAAATAAAAATTTGATCTAGTACGCACCAATTGAAAGTAATATTTCTATAGACGAAGCGATGATACCATACTACGGTAGGTACGGATGCAAGCAATACATAAGAGGCAAGCCCATTCGCTTTGGATATAAAGCTTGGGTTGCTGCATTGAAATGTGGCTATTGTTTGCAGTTTCATATATATCAAGGAAGGAAGTAGAATATAGAAAATCTAGGGAATATGGGTCTTTGCGAACGTGTAGTGACAAGTTTTGCTACCCTCTTAGAAAAAGAATTTCCAAATCTTAGATTTACCTTTTATTTCTACAATTTTTTTACATCTGCTAAATTGATAATCCGTCTTGGTAAAAAGGGTTTTGGAGCCACCGGTACTGTAAAAGAAAATCGTACAGATAAGTGCCCTCTGAAAAACTCAACTCTTATGAAAAAAATGGAAAGAGGATCCATGGATGTTGCTGTTGGGGAAAATAATAAAATAGCGGGTATTCGGTGGAAAGATAACAGTATCGTTACATTATTATCCAACGTACATGGTTTGGATCCTCTTCAAAAGTGTCTGAGATATTCTGCTAAAGAGAAAAAGAAAATAGAAATCCCCCAGCCGTTTATAGTAAAACAGTATAACCCGTATATGGGTGGTGTTGATTAGCTCGACAATGATATTTCAAATTACAGAATAGCAATGAGAGGTAAAAAATGGTACACTCCACTGATGTACTGGGCAATTGATGTGTGTTGTAAATTCTTGGAATCTCGCATGGCAGTATGGATATAAAAAAGACCAACTAGATTTTCGCAGAGGTATTGCAAAAGAACTTTTGTCAACATATGGTCGAGAACCATCTATAGCGGGGAACAAACGAGCTGCCATCAGATATCCTGCTTCTGCCTCTGGGAGACATCTGATAATAACGGGAGAAGACGCCGCTGTCAGAATTGCAAAAATAAATCAAACAAACGTTGTGATGCATGCAATGTTCCTCTTCATGACAAATGCTTCTTAGAATACCGTAACTCCTGATTCCATAATTATAGATAATAGTATCTTGTTCAAATCTTTTTGTTGATAATTGTAATCAGATAAATAAAACGTATAAAACATACACATTATGATTTTCATTTGAAATGTTTGTGCAAACATTTTTGTAGAGCCCAAGGGGTCGCTAACGACCCAACCCAAAATGGCGGCATTTTAATTTTTTTTCGTGAAATATTCATTGATATATCTTTTATATTACTATAGTAATCACATATTTAACCGAAAACATGTTTTTCAAAAAAAAGTTATTCTGGGCATTAATGGGTTAAACAATGATGCACGGTATCGACTAAGTTCTAAAACAGTGCTTTTCAGAAATCTCCTTCTGCCTCCTACTTATTTCCTTAACAGATCATGATAACAATTTGGACTTCGGGTTGATTAGCTTGATGTATAAAAATCATAATTAAGAACAAAGAATGTCTACTAAGCGCTACACTACATAAAAAAATTACGACTGACCACAGAAATTTGACACCTACGTGCTATGTTACATCTTTCAATCGTCAACTAATCTTCATTCACATAAGTTGCTTATATCCATAAAGGATTTTTCTGTGAGGATATAAATTCATAGATAGTTATAACTATTGTATTGCTTAATGGTATTGGGGATTAATGAGACGTCGCTCAGGATACAGTAACGCATTCAAGAAAACAGCACTGTAAAGCTGTATAAGAGTCTTCATACAATGAATGCACTCACGTCGTTTTGTATGGAAAAAGTAGATAAAAGTCGACTATTCTGCCGTATGCTAGATCTAAAAATAATTATACCAGGGTGACCATTTATACTTTAAGCCTCGGCAACACTAACTCTGGTTAGGCTACATCTGATGTTTTCAATTTCAAATTTGACACTTTTAAATATAACCTTATTCAGAACATTTTGTAATTTGAGCACGATGCATGACTGCATTAACTTGCTTCAACTTTTGGGTATCAGGCCCCACCCTTTGCACTGTGGTACAACGGACTTAATCGTGGCCACCATTCCCTTGGTGACGAAGGTCGTGAAGGTCGCCCAAAATCAGTTATGCCAGAAAACATTGATGCTGTGCAAAAAATAATGCAAGATAGTCATGTGACGTATTGTGGGATTGAAGCATTAGTTGCACTTGCATACATAAAATATTAGATAATCATTTAGCTGTGGAGAAGCTTTGTTTTCGTTGGATTCCTCAGCTCACAATGAGGCTCGTGTCAATAGACTATTTGACTAATTTTGCAAAATCATTTTAAATTATTCTTTTATATATAATGAGCACACTACATGAATATTTCCTGAAAAACTATACTATTTTTAATAGAAATCAAATTTAAAGTTTGAATTTTTAGAACCGCGCCAAAAACGCTATTCCTGTGATGGCGCCGGCAGATGACGTCTGTGACGTCACACGCCAGTAAACACGATCACGAGCTGTCAGCCGAAGTTAATTTCATTATTGTGCTTGATTTTGCTATAAAATCATAGATAAAATGGTCAATAAATGGTGTGTAGTGCAAAAATGTACGAATACGCGTATAAATAGTCCACAAACATTGTTTGTTTCTGTTCCAACCGATTGTAAAAGACGACAAAAAAAGTGGTTACTATTAACTCGGAGAGACCCAAAGGGCATTTCATCGACTTCAAATGTATTTATGTGTGTAGATCACTTCGATGTAAGTATAAATTGAATATGTTATCTACTAGGTAGCTTAAATTACCGCTTTTTTTAAGATTGAAATAATATATAACTATGTATCTATAACCTCAAATGTATCTTAGGTTATGTTGAGGATAAGTCAGTGTTGAGGATCAAAGATTCTGTTTATTAACTTTATTAACTTTATTAACTTTATTAACTTTATTAACTTTATTAACTTATTACTCTGTAGGGTTTCAAAATGTTTTCTGTTGTTTTGATTATATTAGCTACCTACATATCTCAGTAATTTCCTATGCTGTGTCATTTTACCTACTTTGCTTATTAGATAGTGATAGTTATGTTGAATTGCAGATGGAAAAAGGCACCATTAACTACATGCAGTACAAAATGGGTTTCAGCAAGAAGATACTTTTGACAGAAGATGCTGTGCCAACAAAATTTCACTGTCAAGAAGATCGTAAAAGACCACTGTCTGATGCTGGACTTTCTCGAGGAGCATATGTCAAGAGGAAAAGAATGGATTTGGTCAACACATGTTTGCAAAGTCAAAATGCTACTGAAGCCCAAGCTGAAAGCTTACAAAAAGATGAGAATTTGATACAAGACATTATTGAACCTCAAGGTATGTAATCTATTACATGTGTCCTATCATAAATTATAATCTAAGAGCTGATAGACATTTTTGTAACCTATTTGAGGCCTTATAAAAACTTGTCTACTACTTCTTCCATTATTTCTGAATAAAAAGGGCAGAACTGAATAAGGTGAGTAACTGTTGTCCCTAGGGGTATTGAGGGTATTTTTCAAAAAAATCATAAAGACATATTTGTAGTACATTGAGATTTTCACAGAATAATATTTATGGTTTAAAATTGATATATTCAAAGTGATAGGTCATTTTAGTGGGACATTTTACTTGCTAGGTGACCAAGAATGCTCAACTTGTACTTCAGGTAATGGGTAATTTCCTCTCAAGCTGTTGATGTTGTGATTCACTACCCCTTATCCAGCACTGCACTTTTTCTTCAGTGATAATGGAAGAAGTAGTAGACAACTTTTCATAGTGCCTTAACGTAATCATTTACAGTGAAATTAAGACATTAATTTTGAGTCTTTGTTCTTTCAGGTTTATCAAGAACTCAAGACAGAGAAACTATTACCAACTCTATCATAACTGCAGAAAAATCTGTGCAAGTAACAATAAAAGAGAATGTGCATCATAGGAGCAAATCTGTGCAAACAAGATGCCAGACTACAAGTATTTCTACCTCACCAATGAAAGTTTATACAACATCTCGTTCCACTTCGCCCTTTAAGATTAAACCATGCAGTCTTCGACCATCACAGTCTGAAATTGTCAAAGCAGTCAAGAGAAATGTTTTTCTTGAAGATAAAAAGTCAGATAGTGATATTTCCTGTATTGAAAGTGGTCGCCATTTATCACCTTTTGTAACTAAATCAGCATCATCATCATCAGGGCTTACCGACTCTGATAGTAATATTACAGATGCCAATGAGAATATTGAAAAATTAGAGTGCCTCAAAATTACTATGCGTTCAATCTCTATCTATCTCTATCTATCTCCCCAATGATGTATGTTGGTATTCCAAAAGAATGTTATTTCTTAATCAAATTGTTACATAAACACACAAGCATAAAAGTAGAACACATTTTGCTATGCTTGACAAAGATTAGAATGAACAGTACATTTTCTGAACTGGAGGATAATTTTGGAATATCATTATCTTATGCTAGTATTTGTAAAAATAGATAAAAAATTGGTAAAAAAAAATCTTCCTATTTCATTTAGACATAACTATCATAATGTCAGTTGCATCATAAATTGTTTAGAGATTGATATACAAAAACCATCAAAGGCTCTTCATCAGTCATTGACGTGGTCAGAGTACAAAAAGGGGAATACTGTGAAGTATTTAGTATCCTGCTCACCTAATGGTTTAGTTAATTATGTTTCGCATGGGTTTGGGGGCAGAACCAGCGATGCCACAATAGTAGAAAGTTGTAACTTTCTAGATGGATTACCCCAAGGATCCTGTTGCTTAGCTGACAGAGGCTTCAAACACCTTGAACAAATACTTCATGGAAAGGGACTAAAACTATTAGGGCCACCCAGTGTAAATGCTGGTGCAAAGTTGTCAAAAACTGAAGTTCGACAAACTAAAATAATAGCTAGTTTGCGGATTCACATTGAAAGGGTAATAAGGCGTTTGAGAGAATTTCATATTTTAAAGCAACATTCAGTGATAAGTACTAACATACGTCGTGTACTTGATCATGTCATTATAGTTGCATGTGCTCTAATAAATTTGCAAGATTCTCTTATTAAATAATGGGTTTTTGCCTGTTATGATACTTTATACTTAATTATTATCATGTAATCTCCTCTTTTGTGATATACTATTTGAACTTTGTGTTTTGTACTTGGCTGAATAAATACTTCTACTACTACTACTATAAATAAAGAAATAAATGATGTAAAACCATGAATAAAATAATAATAAAACAAGAAATATGCACTGCATAGTTTTTTATTTGATAATCACAGACTAGTGCTACGATACAAAATAGGATATATATTTTTTTTCCAAAAAATATACAAGTTTTTTATTAAGTTGTTGACATAATCATCTTCGTACTTCACTAGAATAATATCTACATTTTTTGTTTCTTCAAAGTTGGTATCAGCAACACAAAAATAACATTTTTTCATACCAGTTGCATGCATCTGTAATTGAACCTGTGCCTTACATTTCTCTGAAATAATTCCATTTTTTAAATAATTGTTCTTAGCTTTTGCTTTGGTAGGGCATTTTATTTCAACAATGGCATCTTTCAATAAACCATCAGGAGATGCTGCAAGCATGGGATTGTCTTGGCATACATAAAGTCCACATGTTCTGATTTTTTTGTTCAATGTTGTACTAACTGTCTTCCAGACAGATAGCTCCAAACTTCTACCTATTTTCATTGCAATAGTATCTGGTATTTTTGCGCCCATTGTAGTAGCAACCAATGAACCATCAGGTGTATGACATACGCTCACTTCATGTGCCTTTGAAGCTGTGATACGGCCATACCTCATCTCATACCACAAGCTGCTCTTGTACTGCATTCTTGTTGCTTTTTCAATTGCACTGATAGCAGCTCTGTTGAATGTTGTCTTCATTATGTCTACAAGATTGTCTACGTCTGCTTGAATTTTTGGTGGTTGGTCCATTATGAAACAGTGCAGCGAATACCGCATAACATTTGAGTGTTTAAAATCGTCCTGATATTTTATCAATTCACAGTGTTGAAGTTTTCTTTTTTTGGCTTCCAAAATAAAGTCTATGTAAAGTGCTGATGTACTTGATCTGTGCGGTACTTCCTTTTTCGACATCTGCTGCACCGTGATGTACTTCAGAGTAGTCCCTACTCTTGACAATGTTGGCTTTTTCCAATAACATTCCACCGAAGTAGATGGAGGTTCCTCAATGCGCCGATGTACCCACATCAAAAAAGCGACTGCATGCTTGCAGCCTCCTGCTGAAGCAGCACAGTCATGGCACTGACAACTTATTATCTCGCTTTCATTTTCGTCGATAACCATTGTCACATTATAAGCTTTTGATCTCACTTTGTGCTGTGGGCACATTTTGCACTTAAGTGTGCAAAGTCCATGCTCCCGGTGCAGCTGCACATAGCCAATTGCATCGTCTCCGTAGGACTCCCTTCCAGACCTGTAAAACAAAAGCAAAACATGAAAGTATGTTTTATTCATGAAACCATATATGAACCATATTATCATATTGAACTAAAAGCTTTTTTCATTACATCAACATAACCTAAAATAAGATTGATTTTACAAATCTTTTAATGATCATACATAAAGGTTAGTAGGTATAAATAAATAATTTCTATTACTACTTACATTGTTGTATTCACATGTTTGAGTTCCGCAGCATAGTAGTCCGCATTATTTTTGAAGAAAAATGCTACCATTAATGCGTCAACCTTAGGTAGATTGCTGTTATCAGCTTGCACAAAATTTAGGTCCATTTTGAAGTCCACAACGAATAATGATGCCAATAGTTGAAAGATTGATCAAGAAAGTAATAAAAATCTGTTTACGAAATAGAATTATGATAGAATATCTCACAGAAAGCCAGCAAAAACGTACAACGCGATGTTTGTTTACTTGCATGTGATGTCACCAGAGTCGCAGCCAATCGCAGGGCGTTTCTGTGACCCATCGAATTTTTAAAAATAGCTGATTTTTATTTGATTATTTCCCAAAAAATATACATATTTAGGTGTACATTAAAGTACTATGTGTTTTCTTATTCTATTATCTAATAGGATCACCACAATTCGCAACTTATTTTCAATACTGTCAAATAGCCTATCGGTGCAGGCTGATGCTCGAGAAATATAACGGTTAATTCTCAATTCTACACAATCATTTGTTTGCCGAAAGACTTCGGTGAAATATTGCCGAGACACGTCAAAAGATTTGTCAAGAGAGACAAGTCCTTAACCAAAAACCACTTAACCCCCTTTCGCCCTTGGTCTTCTATGGTCACCCCTTACGCATTTTAAATGACAAGGAGTATCGAGTAATAGCTTGTTTGAAAAGTATTTCGCAGTCCTTTACTTTGACGTTTGATTTTTTAAAATCAATAGATACGTTTTCGAGAAAATAAGACTTCAAAATGTTGCCCGTTTGCAAACTAATCGAAAGACTGGAAATGATTCTAATTTATGGAGCCCAAAATCAATCTGCTGTCACGTTTAACGCCAGACATCGGGGGAAGATAGCTTCGCATAGGTACAGGTATATTTTGGACCTTGTTACTAAATTTACTCAAAATAAAAAACGTGATCAACGGAAAGTTTTGGATGAAGCCGCTCAGGTTTAAGTTTTTGGGTCATTTTGGAATAATTCCTATTACTCCATTACGTAAAATTGCTGTTACTGCTGGTATTTTATTAGGCTCTGTACAAACAGATACTAAACCCCATAAATGTCATCTATTCAAAATGAAAATATTGCAAGAGTTAACCAAAGATGATTTCGATAGGCGAGTTTGAGTTTTGTGAGGAATATCTGCTCCAGTGATGAATGCACATTTTATCTAAATGGATTTGTTACTAAGCATTATGTTCCGTCCTCGTCGAAGTAAATATTCAGAATACATATCGTAGTACCCTCGTAGTAGTACCCAACGCCATGATTTCAAAGCGCACACGCAGAGAAGGAAAGCGGCACCGCGCTCCTTCCCCCTACTCTTCTCCCCTCTGGCCGCCTATAAACCTTCATTCCTTGTTATCGTGCCCGACTGTTAACACGTTAATCAGCGCGCATCGTTTTACGTGCATTGCAGTGTCGAGGATCCGCTGAACATTTAGAATTAGAAATCAGGACAGAAGGTTGGCCGATAGATGTGCATAGTGGAACGAGATACCGACCGACGGTCGCCTCAAGGTTCCTTCGTCGCGGACCAAAACTATGAAGTGGTGTGCAGGCATCTTTTTCTGAAGATGCGTCAGGTAACTGTCAACTAACCGATCTGTTTTAGGTGCAAGTTAAATGAATCTTAGTATGGATTCCTCACCGACGCTGCAGATATTGCCCAACATGTCGTTTGAGATAACGTTCTGACACTGTTGCTTGAGATAGCAACCTGGACCTAGCTTGTGATGCCCAACTCCATACCTAGGATGAACAAGGACGCTTGGGATAACGCTGAAACATTGGACTCGGTTGCTTAGGATAGCAACGTGGACCAGGCTTGGGATAGTCAGCTCCACACCAAGGATGAACGATGACATTTGGGATAACGTTGTAACATTGGACTCGGATGCTTGGGATAGCAACATGGACCTAGCTTGTGATAGTCCACACCAAGGACGAATGAAGATGTTTGGAAAAATGGCTCAATACTGAACGTCGTTCACAAATAACAACACTAAAAGCGTCTGGAAACATCGTAGCAACAAGGTATGCTCAATAATCTTTTCTCATTTGCTTGTGATAGCAAATTCGATCTGGTTTGTGATAACCATGGAACAGGACTGAAAGTTTGAACATGGCAGGCTAGGAAGTTGTTAAGATATTTTTCCTTATTACCAGATAGAGATTAGGTATGTTATGCGAAGTTAGCGTTACAGTTTGCTTGTGACGGAAAATTTTATCTGGTTTGTGATAACCTTGGAACAGCATAATAAGAATGCACAAGACAGCTTAGGAAACCGCCGAAGTACCATTTTTCGTTAATAACAAATAGAGATTAGGTTCATATATGCGACACTAGCGTTACAATTTGTTTGAGATAGCAAATTCCATCTAGCTTGTAATAGCAATGTAGCAATATAGCATGTTTCATTTATAACAGAGATTAGCTACATCTACGTGAGACTAGAGTGGTAAATTTTACTTGGGATAGCAAATTCTATCTCGTTTGTAATTATGAACATGTCAGGTTAGAAAGCCGCCACTGTACAGGGTTATCCAAATTAAGTGTCCACCATTAGTAACTTTGTTATTAGTGAAAATACAAAGTTGTTTGAATTAGCAAACTAGTAGCATTTTTAACGCTGGTAAAAATGAGAAATAAAAAAAACAATTGAGAGTCGTTATTTTGATTTTTTTCAGTAAAATAACATTTTTTTAAATGGAAACCCCTGTATATTATATTTTTTTCTGTTAAAGCATCAAATTTTAAACAAAAAAGCTTACAATAACTTTTCTCCTAGGTTACA